CCCTTTTTCCTCATCTACCATATGCAAGGGCTTGCCACAGCTCATGCAACTTGGGTCATTACACATTATATCAAAGAATATAGATGTCAGTGCTTCCCATTTTACTTTTTCAGCAGGATTCTGCATGACATCTTCAGATATACACAAGAAGAGGGAGATATGTATTGGGAGCTTCACCCTCTGCTGCACAAGGGCCAAAGAAAACCTAGGTTAAAGTGCATTCTACTACTGCTTGCAATGACCAGAACCATCCCTCTATCAGCTCTCTGAGAGCTGTTGAGGAAAAGTGGGGACTTGGAGAATCTCCTCTTAGACATCACTCATATTTCCCCCATATCCATTCTTTTCTAGCACAACTCTACTAACATAGTAGACTTTTGTTTTTTTGAAGGGAATTTCCAAAACCTAGAAGCTGCCTCTTAGACTGCATGATTCAGAGCCACAACATACCTGATCCCTGGCACAACTCTCTTTTAGTTGACTGTGATGACTGGATTTCCTCTTGAGCCTAGCTTTAGCTTTGAAACATTTTTTTTTACGTGTTCTCTCAAAAACTGCATCTGCAATGAAGTCTTTGGAGTGCAAGAATTATATGTGGTTACTGGCTTAAAATCTCTGCTGGATTCCCAACGGTCTATTTTTATCTCATGATCTCAGAGCAATTTGTGATGTTGCACAACATCCAACAGTTCTGATGCAAAGAAATGGCAGCAATGCAGTTTTTCAAGTTAAAAATCTGGACATGATGCTGGATTGGTGATATCTGGCTGGCTGAAGATTTATGAAAGAAACAGCTAAAGAAGAGCAAAGGATGTTAACCAGAAAGGTGTGTTAGCAACAGACTGAAATTAACGCTTGGATTTAGAAGAGAGAGCTAAAATTTAAAACAAGCCCAAGGTTATCAAGTCTTTAGCAATATCTCAGATATAATAAAAAATAAGAAGATATGTAATTAACTGGACAGTGAGGAACAGCTCCAGAACTTGCAGAGAGAGTTCATTTTGAAGTCATAGCAACTTTTTTCATGTTGGGGCTGCATCTGACTGTTGCCAGAAGGTACTCAATGCTGAGTATCTCTATTCCTGCATAACTCCTATTCACAAAACAGAAAAAGAACACAAATAATGTTCTTCTTTTCATTTGTTTGTACGTATGTTTTAGATAAAGCTGTTCTGATGGCTTAAGACTCTTTGTTCAGATTGCACAAGCTATTTGGTGCCAGAGTTATTTAAATCCTGGGAAGAAGTACTACAATAGATAGAAATGATGTATGAATAGTACATAAATGATGATAATGGAAGGGCTGATTTAATAAATGGAAACTTTAAGCTGAAAGCATGAATGAGAAGGCACTGGATCTACAGCTCTACTGATGCAGAACGTGGGGTCATGAAGAACCGAGGAGAAATGCTGCACATTGCCCTGCCAGGATTTATCCCATGCTCTGAAAACTTGGACACGTTGTTGGGTAAGCTACTGGAGCTGCCACCTTGCAGATGATACCTAAAGCTGACAACCTAATCATCTGTGGCACATTTTGTAAAGGACAAGGAATTAGCTATAGTGAAGTGGCCTCACTTCAGCCTGCATAATTACATCCTGCACACCTATGATTCCTTTGCTGTTTCTTAGAGGGGGAAAAAAAAAAAGAACATATTCTTCCCTTGCTGTAAGCCTTTTGCCTAGAAAATCTCAGATATAGCTGCAGTCATCTCGTGCTTAAGTCTGATATCAAACTGTTAAATTTGCAATGTACTTTGAGATCATTTACTCTAAACCTTAAGATTATTACTGCAGACATCTCCAAGGACTACATAATCCACGCTGTATGTTCCAATAATGAGGCATGAAAGAGTAAACTGAGAATTTGGTTTCCGATTCCTCCCCCTTCTTTGCCCTGCCCATTTCTGTGCTTTGAAAACAGAAGCCATAATGCTGTCGGAACATTTTTTTTTAGTGGTTTAATAAACATGACATGCTTGCACTTGCTTTGCATTTTAATAGCAATGCAGTGGCAATAAGACACTTCCACAAACACAATGCATGCAATTACATAGGGTTTTAAGTGCTAACTTTGTGTCAGGCATATATATACACGTTTTAAAACTCTTTTGTTCGAAGCCTAAAAATCCTCAGTTTTCTCTCTCCCCTGTTATGGCCACCTGACTGCCTTTCAGGTGGAGTTCGATGGGCACACACCACTTGGAGTAATTAGGAGCTGTATCTTTGTGGCTGTATCACTGCCACATCACCACTCCAGTGGAAACTTTTTAATGGCACCTGAGGAGTACCTATGGAAGTGGCCATGTTGCTGATCTGACAGCTTTTAATTTTTCCTTTTTCTTCCTTGAAGACAGTTCCAATATGAGGGATGGTGGTAGTGACCACTGATAGCTTCAGTTCTAAGAGCAAGAATGGCCAAGTGTTGCTAACACATGAAGTTTCGTTCAGGATTTTGAAGTCCCAAAGTACTGCAGTGGTCTGTCTAGGGTTTTGGTTTGACCCATTTTAAATACCTTGTGCCTATTACAGGAGTAGACCTTCATTAACCTGCCCTGAAGTTCTTAAAAATTAAATTAAATCTCACTAGAAAAGATTCAAGTAGTAAGAGTGGTAGTTTTAGTTCTAAGGGATATAACTTGTTCTGTGTTAGTGCTTCTGATTTTGGGCCATCACCCCTCTCTCTCTCTTGCCAGGCTCAGGGTGACATTTCACTCATTTTTATTCAAAGGTAAATTGCATGACCAGGAATGAAATTAATTCCAGGGTCTGACTCAAAGTACATTGTAATAAACAAAAGGGCTGATATTATCTTTAGTGGAGTACCTACAACGTTTAGTAGAGCACTAAAGTTAACACAAGCCATAATATGCACATAGTTTTAAAGAAAACACTTTACTATTCTTTACCATAACAACAATGTTGAATTTGTCTATGTTTATGCTAAACAGCATAACTTCCTTTTATGTTTCAGATATTAATATTCATACATTTACAGTATAACACTGTACTCTGCTTTTGCATTAGGTTCAGCTAGATTGTTACCCTGAGAAACACTATTAAAGATTTTTTACTTACAAACTCAAGAGACTCCAATCAGAATTTTTCTGCTACACACATTCACTGGTGTAGGGATTATAGGCTTGAGCAACTTACATTGTATAATAAACTGCCAAATGAGATGAGGTAAAACAGTAACTCCACAGAAGGATCTAATTCAGAGTACTTACTGTGTGCTAGTATTAGTCAGTGATTAGGTTATTAAATCCTCTCTAATTATTATCTGAAGCTTTTCATAAATAGCTTTTTGCAAAATGGATCTTATCTAAAAATTTAATTTATTGGATGTTTACAGGCTTAAAAAAGTGATTTTATGATATAAACCCAGAATTACTTCCTTTTTAAATAAACCCAACTGGTGCTGTAATTGAGATGAGCACGCTATTTTTTTCATGCAATAATCTGATATGGGACTTTCCTTTCTCAAGAGACTTGCTTGATCTGCTCTTTATAGACATTCAGTCTCTGTAAATATGCTTTTGGTTTCTTTATCAGTAATAGTATTAGACCTGAATGCTTTAGTATACAGTATAATGGGATATTAAAGGGCTTTCTGTATATGTTTTAGACAAGCCAGTCTAATAGAAAGAAATGAACACATGAAGGATATTCTTTACAAGTAGACAGTACCATTTATAAGGATTTTCTTCTACCATTTAGTCATTACATTTTGAGAGAAAATCACATTGCTTTCTTTGCCTTTTTTTTCTCTGTCATTGTTTGCCTTTTCTTCCTGCTTGTACTTTGCTACCAAACCATCTGACTATCTGTGTTGCCATGGGAAGGACTGTAATGCCATAAATTCAGAGGAGAGAAGTTCCTGTGTTCATTTTTTTTTTCCATTTTATTCTTACACAATCACTAGCACAGATTAGCTGCTTTCATAAGGGTGTACTGGCACTAGAGCAGGATTGTAAAATATTCCATTTTGGAAAAGATACAGCAAAAACATTCTACATGTTTCACAGAATGGCACCAACCTACACAAGCAAAAGTCAATGCTTCCTAACTTGTAGATAACTGACTGTTCCAGAACTAAGCCAAATTATGGGCACTTATCCATCTAGTCTTACAGCATGTGAATTCCAGAAATGCAAAAAAATGGAAGGAAAAACATGTTAAATCACAAAAAAACCATGCTGGATGCCTTAGGGGATTTGCCATACAATTCAGGGATTTTAATTTTCAAACTACTGGCTAAACCACCACAGGCAAGTAGTGATTGAAATTTGCCACCTTCTAAAATCTGTAAAGAGTGGCCCATCTAGAAGGACCTGTGGCTTCAGCTCAGTTGGCAGTGCCAGCTCTTCCCATTACAGAAAGGAGCTTCCTTGACTGGCACCAGTGCAGGTGCTCGCTTAGTGGGATCCATGGAAAGGCAAAGGCCAAAACATCTACCAAGAACAGGTCCTCCAAGTACCACAGTGCAAATAACAGACCCAGGTTTATTCTACAGACAACTCATTCGGCCACAAACGAAATGTCTTTGGACAGCAGCCCCCAAAGGTCACATCTACCACAGTGAGAACGAATGTACCGCTTGGGGACAGCAGAGGCAGAATCACACACTGCAAATGCAATCAAACTTCCTCATGAAAACCCAGAAGTGCCTTTACACATCAGAGCAGGGTCCCCTATGTGCTGCTCACTGCAAGTGCTGGTCAGCATCATCCACATTACCTGCAGTTACCATTCAGAATCAAGACTGGGGGCTCAGCCTCAGTTCCTCAGGATACAGTTCCAAAGCTCCAAACAGGCAAAATGAAGACCCTAGGTGGTAATTTGTAGTGAACATAACCTAGTCCTACCTCTGCCATTGTATTAATCATCCATTGCTGACATGGAAACAACTTATTTTGACAAATAAACAACAGAAATGTGATTCAGAAGACACAGGAAGCAGATGTGCAAAGCTCAGGAAGCCAAGTGTAAAGACTCACCGTCCTGTCTGCAACCACACACTAATCTCATGTTTGGCTGATGGCTGTGGCTGAGCTGCTCTGTTCAATATTTTGTATGTTGATTGGCTTGTTATTCACTTCTGCCTCTGCTGGAAGCCAGACTAACCTGTGGGGGAAGTGTGGAAAACAATTACAGTATATTGAAATGGCCATACAAGTACAGCACACTGCAACACTTTACATAATTTATTAGGTGTTACTACAAGCACTGGCACTCACACGACAAAGGTTTTAACGAGACCGACAAATAGGACAACATCTGCATTCCTGTGAGAACATCTGAGATGAAAATTTAACATTAAACCAAAACTGCACTCACTACAGTGCAAACACTGCAATCAAGTGGTCTGCCTTGACTTGCAATGCATTATGTTAACACAGTATGGTTGCCAGAGTAAAATACAAATGTTCATTACAGCAGCAATTAATTGCTTGCTATTTTTGAAAATTAACAGTTAATATACTTTTCCAAATCAATCCAATCCAGTGTTACTCTGAATTTTCATGCATCATTTCTTTATTTTCGTCCCTATTGTGCACACAAGGTCAATTAACTGGTAAATATAATTATTTTACTAACATAGCAAGTGGCAGCTTATTATAAATAACAACTTATTTGCATATTTCCTTGTTTCTGAAGAGAACAGCAATGTTACGGGTCTGAAAATCTTTGCAACTCTAATACAGTGAGATATTGTTTTTAAGTAAATCTTCTATTTAAGTAAGTAAGCTAGTAAATATGCCATTTCTTAGATTAAAATCAGCAAGTAGAAGCTGGGTTGCAGATTTCAGAACTTGCCTCATTTGCATCTTGAAAATGGAATGGAACTGAAACCTTTCAAGCTTTATTGTTCAACTCCACAATTCTGTTGCTCTTTGTAAATGAAACGGAAAAGAGATGTATGTGAATATATCACACACTTCAGCCTACATGAGCTTTTCAAATTTTAAATGAATATCATTGTTTGTAGTCACCTTCACAGTATTCCTGAAGTTGAAGCTGTGAGCTGAATTCTGACTGAATTTTGTGAAAGATTTGGGAAAACATGACTCACAAGATTTTAATACTGGCAGACAAAGACCCCTTTCTGACTCTATTTTTGATTTCCAGGGTCTCTTTAAATAAAGAAGATATTCAAGACCGAGGGACAACAGAGAACAGCTGCAAGGATGATTTCTTCTAAAAGGAGAAATCAAAGGACAGCACTCCTCATGTGCACTATATATGGCAATCTCTTTGTCTGAATATCGAAGAACTGGTTGGTACTCGCATGCTGTGCCGAAACTGCGTGGCTGTAGAGGTTTTCCTAGACATATTTCTTGATGACAACTGCATGCTGTTGGATTTGTTTCAGTGGCTGTGAATCTGTGAGCCATGCATATTGCGTTCCATTTGCCACTTCGCAAGAAAAAAATATTTAGTGAGCTTATGGCAAGCAGAACACCTCATTTGTGCTGATTGGGGTAGATGGGGTGATTTGTAGATTCACACACGCTGAGCTTCGGGCACTCCGAGAAAAACTCCATTGGGCGAACTCGAGATTTATGCCCCAGCCCCAGTACAATTCATGTGTTGGGGTGCTCCTACTGAGACCTACCAATGGGAGCTGACAGCTGCGTACAGTGCACTGGAAACATTTTAAAGCTTGCTGTAAAGAAAATAGAGCAGTCTACGCCTAGCAGGGAGGAAAATCGATGAGTCGGCACTTGGCAGTGGTGACCAGCAGGAGGATGCTTCTGATGAATGCTGAGTCATTGATTTCCCTCCCTGATCAGCAGCAGCTGCTCCATTCACACTGCAGAAAGCCTTCTCGCCACGACCACATGTGTCAGCAGGCTTTATTGTCATTAAAGCAAGAGGTATTAGCTGACAAGACATCCAATTTATGTATTTTTGGTTTCAATAGCTCTAGCTCACAATTTCAAAGTTGCTTCTCAGCTAGGGCACCTAAAAGGACATACGTATCCAGGCAGGAGATCCAATAGCACAAGCAGCTTCACAGGTACAAACAGTATTTGCATGACAGATGTGTGAATGTCACCCCACCCTTCGGTTTCTTTTCTCACCAGGAGGCACATATTTCATAAACTCAGAGCACAGTCGAGCAAAGAAGTTAAGACATCATCTGAGAAGGTAGGCTTCAAGTCAGCACAACGCTTATGTAGGAGAGCTCACATGTTTAAATTTAAACATACGTGTAAATATTCAGATGAACTGGGCTCTGCTCATGTGCCCTGCCTCCAGTGTGTGTGATGCACCATGGTATGGCTGAAGACCAAAGCATAATTGTAGTCTGTAATTTTATGACAATAAAAAAGCAACAGGTAAAACAGGTGAGACTACACCGAATGACTACAATAAAAGTACAGTTGGAGCAGATTGTTACAAATCTCAGCATTTGATGAGGATGTATATATTTCTCAACATGTTCTAGCCTTTGTTATGTTGCTTACATTACCATAATTATTACTTAATGTGTCTGTATATCTGCTTGAACTGATCTTTGAGGAAGCAGTTTACAGAAAGAGAAAAAAGAAGAGAAGGGACTGTCATGAGATAAATGCTGTTTCTCAGGATTAAAATTGACTGAAGTACACTATTTATAGTCAGGCACTTCACTGCTAGTAGCAATGCTGAGCCTGTTCATTTCAGGTTCCATTCATCGCAGAATATGCATGACTCTGCCTCAAAAACACTCACAGAAAAAGTCATAGGTCAGGCTTCTGTGCTTGAATTGGTATTTCAGCAAAAGCTCACGTGGCCAGCCACAAAAAACATTTTCCCTCAACTCTACGGGTGTTTGTCCTTCGAAAAAGAGCCTCTTCACCACAGCGACAGGCCTGGATTCAGGAGAGGCCATATCAGGCAAGCTGCATTTTCCTAGTTAATTCAGCTGCAGATTGAAAATTGCTCTTTTATAGCTGGCTCCCCTCTTTCAGGAGGCACAAGTCCACTTAAATTCTTTTGCTTTTTAAAGGGATCTCATCTCCCAGCTTCAGTGAGTCCTTGTTAGAGCCACATCAAACTCAGTGGTTTTGGGTGACGAAGATTTTGGAAAAGTGTACGTCAGCTACAACATCCACTCAGGTTGTAGGGTTTGTGAGTTTAGGTACCCTAAAATTTAAGATAAACATCACTGCCAGCCCATTTCCTTCGCCTTATCTCCCTACATTTCTGAAAGCCCTCCTCCATTCTGCTATGCCTGAGGGCAGCTGAGGAGGCTCCTCCTCGTAGGAGCAGTTGCATTAGCACAGAAGCTTTCAAGGATAACTGCTGCTCCTCGGGGAGCCCCAGGAATAGGAACAGGCAAGAGTGCTCTCATTCTTTTATTCCTTCGCACATCTGGGGTCTGAAGTATCTTAGGCTGTGCTAAAAATCTGCTAACTTAAGAAACAAGTCTTTGAAATCAGATTGTCAGCTACAGTGCAGGTAATGAGCCGTGTAACTTCTTAAGTCACACACATATCACTTTCTTTAAAATTGTTGACCGAGGGTATGAAAAGCACAAAACAGAAATAGCAGATGAACTCAAAAATATAATGTGACCCTGCCTCATGTCTGAATTTCTTTGATATGATCCACATGGACAGAAATGACTTGCACATTAACAGTTGCCACTGATGCAAGTAGCAGTGTTCTTGAAATTCTCCATTTAATTTCCTGATGATTTTAATAAAATGCTAACTTTGCAAGCTGAAGGCCAGGTTCTGGTACTGACTGATGACAAGGTGACATGGAGTAGAAGAGAGATCAAATGAAAAATAAAGAATATGACAGATCCTAAATAATTTCATTACTGACTGAAAGCTAAGGAACACTGTACTCAGGACCAAATTCGGAGAAAATAGAATACTTAGTATGTAAAATGTTTTAAACTTCTATAACACTGATCAGGAGGGGATACGCTACCCATAAATAATGAATTTCCAATACAAATGACGCACATTGGGACACATAGTCCAAGTTTTGGAGAACAAGAAGTTTCATTAAAGAGATGTTCCAATGAACAAGATCCTGCTATGTTTAGATCATATCTACCTAATAAAATTAAAGATTTAGACATAATTAATATAGATCCAGACATTTACCTAATTAAAATGAACTGGGTAGAAAGAATTGATTATACATTTCCCTATGAATGAAAATAAACATACAAATTACTGTTCATCAAAAGATAATGTATAACTCTAATGCTTTGATGATAGAAATCTCACATTATTTTTAATGTAAGATTGCTACTGATTAGAAAAAATGTATATGATTACAATTAGTCAGTCAGATTGTCTAAATCAGCATATGAGTTGATGGAGCTATGACAATTTATAATATCTGAGAATCTGCTCCTTATCTTGAACCAATGAGGAGCCCAGAATCAACATTTGTAAAGAGGAATGCTTCCTTAGACACACTATAAACCAAAATCTTTTTCAGATGAAAAATGAAAACCAATGACAACACTGCAAAGACTGTCATCAACACCAGTACTCAAACAGCCTCAGTTTATGTAAAAGAAGAAAATTTATCTGAAAATAATGAATTTAAAAAAGGGTTTCCATAATGATGTGAAATTCTGAGAAGGGGTTTGAAATTTTTCTTGAGCTCTGAAATCAGATAAAATCTTTGAAAAAAGACTTTGTTTCAATATTTTTTAAGGTATTTTATATGAGCAATAATAGAAAACTGTCTCTTACACAGTGTCCTGTGTGGTGATGGAAAGCCTAGCTATGATGTAACTGTTCCAGCATTCTGTCTTAGACAGACAACATACTGGAGGATGTTGCTTATTTACCAGAAGGACCTGAATTACCATGAATATGGTTGTATGGTAAAAAAAAAAAAAAAAAAAAAAAAAAAAAAAAAAAAAAAAAAAAAAAAAAAAAAAAAAAAAAAAAAGAAACAAAACCTGATTTTAGTGGTTTTCAAACCTTATTAAAGGCTTTTTTTAATTTGTGGGAGTAGACTGAGGTACTTTACTGCCAACAGTATGAGTGATAACTTTTGAACCTAGCACTCAGTGGTCAAATTCCAAATTTAGAAGAGGAAAAATTAGTTCAAAAACCTTCTGACATCCCAGTGGATCTGGAATGGCAAACAGGCGAAAACTT